TCCGGCTTCTTAATTTTTAATTATTCTGCAAAAATTATCTTTTTGTTAAGTACAATCCTGGTTTTAGCGCCCTTAAACTACGGCCTGAACGGTCGCAACAGCAGCAGCGGGACAGGAAAACGAAAACACCAAGCGTGGACGCTGCTTCAATATTAAACTTCTATCGCCGTGCTAAGGCGCAGGGATACGACAATTTGAACTCTCCGGAACGCGTGAGGTATCACGCCTCAATTAAAGGCGCTTTCGAATCTTTTGTATTTATATGACGAGATTTTCCAAATTTTTTGGCACTATATTGTAGATTTGAGTTCCTTTTATTATTTACTTAAATTACTCCTACTGCTTAATTTTTAATTATTCTGCAAAAACTATCCATTTGCGAAATACAACCTTGGCTTTAGCGCACTTAAAATGCGGCCTTAACGGTCGAAACTACAGTAACGGCACAGGAAAACCGAAAAACAACGCGGGGACGCTACTTCAATATTAAACTTCCATCGCCTTGCTAAGGCGCAGGGATACAACTATTTGAACTACCCGGAACGCGTGAGGTATCACGCTTCAAAAGAAGGCGTTTTCGAATCTTCTATATTTACATGACGAGATTTTACAAATTGTTTTACATTATATTGACAAATTGAGTTCCTTTTATTGTTTAGTTAAATTACTCCCGCTGCTTAATTTTTAATTAGTCTACAAACACTATCCATTTGCGAAATACAACCCTGTTTTTTGCATTTTTTTGTAGATTTGAGTTTCTTTTGTTATTTAGTAATATCATTCCTGCTTCTTAATTTTTAATTATTATGCAAAAATTCTCTTTTTGCGAAATGCAATCCCGGCTTAAGCGCCCTTAAACTCCGGCCTAAACGGTCGAACCTACAGTAGCGGCACAGGAAAACCGAAAAACAACTAGTGGACGCTACTTTAATATTAAGCTTCCATCGCCTTGGTAAGGCGCAGGGATACAACTATTTGAACCCTCCGGAACGCGTGAGGTATCACGCCTCATTTGAAGGCGTTTTCGAATCTTCTGTATTTACATGACGAGACTTTCCAAATTGTTTTCCATTATAATGTAGAATTGAGTTCCTTTTATTATTTAGTTAAATTACTCCTACTGCTTAATTACTCTGCAACAATTATCTTTTTGCGAAATACAATCCTGGCTTTAGCGCCCTTCCTGCGTTTTTACTTAGCACGGTAAAATAATGACCAAATCATGATGCAGTCCGTAAAATGTTGACGTTCAGTCACCATGAAAACATGGAGTTGTGGAGATTAAGCTTGATTAGGCCTGTCTAGGAAATCTATTGAAAAGGCTCGATAAACAGAGTGTTCGTTGCGAACACCGTAATAATCTATTCTTTACCATACCTTCAAGTGGGGAAATATCGATAATCGATCATTCACATCACGCCACTGACTCAAGGGCTGAATATGTCATCAAACGTATGCGTGTGTTCATAATTCGATCGTCACAAAACAGATAGATATTAATCTTCAGACGCATGAGTGCTCTTATTTACGGATTGTTTGGGGTCTGTGAATGAAAGTTTGCCTTAACTTCGAGCAACTATTTTAACCCTCCGGAGATCAGATTGCATACCTGACGAAATGAAGGAACTTTGGTAACGCGGTACAATGAAGGGTTGAATAAATCTCTTGACGGGATAAAAAGTAAAAGATGAAAGTATGATGGAGTGGGGTTGAAATGTTCCCTCGTTAATATAATATGAGGGGCTTGGAGGACAAGGCGCATAAGTGCAGTTTTCGCTACTTCGAGTAATACGTGTTTGAAGTTTCGAAATCACATGGATCTTTACGTCAGGAAAAAAGTTCAAACTGACTTTTCGATGCTTAAAAATTGGAATTTGGGAGCGAATTTTTCACAAAATGTGCATTGAGAATAGTTTCACCGGAAACCATTGATCTCTCAAGTTTTTCAAAAACTGCCTTTATGCGCCTTGTCATCCAAGCCCCTCAATTATATTCAATAAACTCATCCTTCTCTACCAGGGATTTCCCCTTTTCATTTTATGCGCGGGTTGGAAAAAAAAAAGAAAAAAAGTAACGACACAATATAATGGATCAATGTGTATTTTTCAAGTTTTTTATAAAAAGAAAATTAAAAATGGTAACTTAATCTTTAAAGGTGCGAAAAGTGAGGGGTTTCGATTCCTCAACATCTTCGCTGGTAAATTAGGTACATCGGAGTATTTACACAACAATAGAGGTGTTGCCCCTTACATTTTTTTCAGATGCTCGGCTTCCAACACGGGAATTATTAAACATTTGGCAATTGTTTAACTCCTAATGAACTAAATGCGCAATGGTATTCATCTACATGATAATGATGGATTTCAATGGAAAATATATACACGTGCGAATAATGAAATAATGATGAACAGGATAATAAGGTAATAATCAGAGGCGTGGCGTGAATGGACCACTAGACAAGGTACGAATTTCAGCATTCTGATACATGTTTCTTGACCAAAATTTCACGTAAAACACGATGCGCACAATAAAAATTACCGAAATCAACTCCTTACAAAGATATTTAATAATTCCTGATGCGTGAATTCAAACCACCCGCTCATTAAAACTCATTGCTCTACGTGATTCACATCGCGCGCTAAACATTATCATAACAGTCTCTGCGATTTAAAAATCTGGCAACCTCAATTTTGACGCTTTGGCTCAGCTTTAGCAAATTGCTTATAGTGTGAACAACACATGGTGGGAAATGAACATTGTTCGATTGAGAAGCTTACTGAAACCGTTGTAGTGCGCGATTTGACTCGCGTAGAGCTTTGAGTTTCTTGTGAGCGGGCAGTTCAAATTCCTCGTAACCAATGTGAAATAAAAATGTTAATATTTCCGTTAGGAACTGGTTTCAGTAGTTTTCGTTGTGCGAATCGTGTTTTACGTAAAATTCTGGTTAAGAAACATATATCAGATTGCTTAAATTCATACCTTGTCTAGTGGTCCATTGCGATATATCGATTGTTATGTCATTTAAACCTATGGTAAAGAGTCGATTATTAAGGTGATCGCTGCGAACACCCTGTTTATCGATCTTTTTCCATAGGTTCAAGTGGCATAACAATCGATATATCGCAATAATTCACGCCACGCCACTAGTAATAATCTTGCATGAAAAAAGGCTGTTGCCGAGGTCACTCACAAAGAATAGTCCTCTATGAGGCTCCAAAACTTAAGTTTCTGAAGTTTAGATGAGGTCACGTATATACTTTGTGACTTCTGGGTGGTTATCAGAAGGAGCTGAATTTCCTGAACTGGAGTTAGTGTCTGAATAATGGATTACATTTTACCAGATGAATGGTTGATGATTTTTTTTTAAATGATAGCAATTGAAGTCTTATAGTTAATCCCGCCCGGCAAAATTACGTTGTGGCAACGTTGCCAAAACGTTGCAATTTCGCCATTTACGTATTCGGGCAACGTTGTGGTAACGTTGCCACAACGTGTAATTTTGTCAGCTTGCATGAACGTGATTGGCAATGTGTCTGCAATGTGTTTTAGCAACATAATGGGAATGTTGCAAAAATACGTTTTAGCAACATAATGGGAATGTTGCAAAAATACGGTGAAAAAATTTCGGAGATTTATTTTAGGAGTACTCTGAATTTTTACTCCTAGAATTCAATGTGGACCGCAGAGAAGCGTTTCTTAGGCACTCGAAATTCACTCTAAGTCCGATAGTAGCCGCGCTCCGCCCGGGTTCCCAAGCGGGCTCCCATCGAAGTACTAACTACGCCCGACGTTGCTGAACTTCAGTGATCGCCCGTGTGTCGCTGCCACTCAGCTACGGACGCTCGCATGGTAGAGTTTGGTTATTTAGCATTAATAAACATCCCTAGATCTGGTTCAATGATAGAAAGCAATGATATTCTTGCATTTCTGTGCATAATTCTACAACGAAGGATACTGAACATAATATTAGGAAGATCAAGTTTTTAAAAAAAAGGAGTATGAAAAAAAATTGAAAAAGAATTGAATAAATATATTCATTTTATATAAATAAAATTATTATTATTTTAATTATTTATTTAATTATATTAGAATTTTTTTATTATAATTATTTGGTATTTTTATTTTGTATTAAATTATTTTCTAATTATTTATATTTATTTTTTTTATTTTATTTTACTTTTTATTTTTAATTTTTTTTTTTTATTTTTTTTAATTTTATCTTCATTTGTATATTTTTATTGTTAATTTTTTTATTTTTTGAATTATCTATCAATTAATTTTTGTCTATTTTTGTATATACATATACATATTTTTGCGACATTGTATGAGGGCGCATTCCCTTATATTGATTGGAGAAAATCATCTGTTGAGAAACAACAGAAAGGAGAACACCTGAAACAGTGGAAAAGTGTCCCCTCCGATTTGCAGCACAGCATCTGCTTGACCTCATATCTGAGTTCTACGACCAAAATTACACAGGGATTGATACCTCACATGACACTATATGCGCATTTTAAAAAACCGAAATCCCAGAGGCCTTATTATGGCCGCCATTTTGAAATTTAGGCATTTTGGGGGGTGTTCCGGGGTCGGACCGTGGTAAACTTTTGGTATGTTGTTCAGGAGGACCTACTGATGACGTTTACATAGGAAAAGTTTGTTCAGCAATTTGTTCCGGGTCAAATCGTGTTTCTCCCTGACTAATAATGTTTAACAACGTTGTCACAATATATCTAAGAAATATTTATTGAAACGTTTTTTAATAATGTTCCAGAAACATTTCTAAAAACGTTTTGAAAATATTGTCTAAAATATAATGTCAGGCAACATTGCTGAAACATTGCTTAAACGTTGCTGCTTTACCTTTACAAAGCAATATCATCAAAAATGTCGCCTTGCGACGTTGCGGCAACGTACACATTGCTCCCTTGCCGGGCGGGATAATAATCGAAATGTACAATTAAACCCTAGTTTCTCTATAAGAAAGTAAGTGAAACATGTTATGTATTTATATTTATTATACATCCCTATGAAATACCTAACGCAGACGGTTCCTGAAAGTTAGCATTTAGTACGCAAAGTATTTTACCTCCGTATTTTTATGTGATCGATAAGTCACAATTATTCCCTTTGAAGCGTAGCCTGCACCGGGAATCAACAAGATAAATGTTTGAAGGCTCGATTTTTTGTATTAATCTAGACTTCAACTAAGATATATGAATTAGAGGCTCTTTAGAGATATTTCCAGGAACGTTAATTTCCAACCCAGTTATTATGATAATTTTAAGCATTCAGATATAATTTGAATAGAACATCCAAATACAAGAGTAGATTGCACATATTGTGAGTTCTGAAGAAATTCTCTCAAACCTTTAAACATAATATTAGATTTCATGATTGGGCTGGATCAGGCTGTGATAAGAAGCGCTCGATGATCAAAGCTTTCATCAGAAATTGTGCATTGGAAATTGGAAATTTTAAAACGCGCTGGTTGTAAGAATTCGCATGTCTGTGGCTCACACCTGTTGTAATTTTAACATATTGTGTGACTTGGCGGTTTAAAATTTAAAAAAATCAATTTATTACACGATTATTACAGTTGTCAACACTATTCAGGAACCGTATTGACACTTCATCCAATTTTAATTACCTGTTAAATGCTCTTACGGCCTTTTTGGAGGGAGACTGGTGCTTTAATAAACTTTAAAATTCAAACCTAGAATATCATTTGCGACGAAATATTTTAGCGGTAGAATACCAGATTGGGTGGCATTCGAACTAATCTGCCACCCTTTGCGTTTCAAATCTGGAAATCTGTGTTTGTAATCCATCAAGGAACCTGAAAGTTTGGGGAGAAATTTTTTGGCATAGGTATCCTATAATTTTGATTACATTTTACGACGAGCAAATGTCCCAAGTCTAAATATTTTGAAGTAGAAACAACAAAATTTTTAAAACAAAATCATCTTTCTTTCTATACAGGAAATTCAGTGTTGAACTGAATAATTAAAACAATTGCTCTACCTTGCAGATACCTTGCAAACGTAGGGATTTCGCAAGTTAAATTAAATGACCTATCAACTGGCCAAGTTGTAGTATAAATAATGAATGGCCTAATTAATCTAACTAGAATGACACTTTTGCACCGAGCATCAATGAATATGACCTCAAAATAATTTGCTTTTTTTCTTTTTTTTTTCGATCGATGCCCCTTTTCTATTTACACTTCCAAAATGGGTAACATGTCTTACATTCTAGATCCTAATTTGACTTAACACTTACCATTTGATCAAGGGAATTTTTAAGTTTTGAGCAATTAGGACGAAGTTGATCAACAACGTCTTTAGACAGTGCCTTGTTGCATCTGCAGATCAGGCTTTCGCATTTATGAAATTTTTTCCTAAGTATTTATGGTAACCTTCTAGCAATTTAAGTCTCAAAATTTTTGATTTATAATTAGCAGAATAACTTTCATCTTACAAGATGGTTTCTATTCGTGGGTAACTTTAATGTGCACCGTTCTGGCATTCTGGTAACTTTGAAATGAGTAACATTGATATTACTGTTCATCTGTTTGAGAGTGTCCTTCCCAATCAGTGTTTTTTCGATCTTTTTAAAGACGTCTTTAATTGTCTTAGTTTCAAATCGTACTTCTGCTTAGAGGATAACGCGAACTGCCGATCGTATTCGCTGAAAATTCAGATGCTTTTTACAAGGCATTTTGATAATGGCACCGCACCCCGGAGTAAACGCCGCAGGGTGAATTCAAAACTTCCCGCTGTACATTTTATGCCAAAATTCAGTTAATCACACGGCCTAAGAATAACATAAAAAAGAACAAAATATTCTTAGCACTACTTAGACAGTAAGTTTAAAAAATGACTGATGAAACTGGTTGATTCGATGAGATGAAAAGTCGCAATTTCTCCCTAAAATTAGACCACTAGAGCTCTCATTGGAGACGGATTCTAAAGGAAACATCAATGATACATTTTATACCTACATCGTCACTTACATTTTAAAATAGAAATTTCTGATCATGATATGCTAAGTTTTTATGGTCATCTGGAACTTCTTTTTCTTTTAATAGCACGCCCTGAATTGATACCGTGCTACCCTACCTTCAAGTAAGGTTGCAAGATTGGGAATATTCAAGAGGATAGGTCCCTGCGTGGTTATATAATACGACCAAATGTTTCGTAAAAAGTAACCCTTCCTCTTAGAAATCAACAAAATTTCTCAATAGCATTGAAAAATATCGAAATTTTGGTCAAGATTTTTTCCTACCAAAGCCGAAGTAAATATCATAGAAATCAAAAGTCTGACCGCTTTTGATGCAAATTTGTCTATTAAAAATTAGCTGTCAGGCTTTTTAAATTAGATTTTATCATACAAAGTGACAATATAGCTCGAAAATATTGGAGCACTGGCTACGCATTTGTAATACTATCTGCGTCTTAGATATAGTGTTCTATTGGTCAAAATTATGTAGCACACATTGTGAGAGAAATGAAATGAATATCTCCAAAGAGAGCTAAAAGTGGTCTTGAGTCCAAGGAGGTCATTAAATTAGTGAAAAAACATCCTATTTCTTTTTGTATTCGTTGCCGTATCCGTAAGGAGCGTGTTCGTCCTTCCAGTAGTTCAGATCCAGTGCGGGAATGTGGTTGTACTCGTTGCAAGCCAACAATGGATTCCTGTAATAAAAAAGTTCCTCAAATAAATTATATTGATTGAAAAAAAAAGAAAATACTTCGGACGGGTGGAAGTATAATATTTTTTTTAAACCTCAAACGCAGAGAAAATACTGAAATGAAGTAAAATTTTAGGAAATAAAATTTTAATTTTTATCATGGAATTACACTTTTTGCCATAAAACTGCAATTTTCTATCATGAAATTGCAATATTTTCTATCATGAAATTGCAATATTTTCTATCATGACATTGCAATATTTTCACTTCATTGGGTCAGAAAAAGCTGATTTTAAATAATCAAGAAAATGAGCTCCATGGATCATAAAGATATACATTGAGCAAAATAAAGAAAAATCAGTTCAATTAGGTATTATTCAGCTGCCTTGAATTTAATCGCAATAAGTTTCAATAGAAACACTTCAATTCGGTAGCAAAAATTTTAGTATGTAATCTCAGTTTGTTGCAATCACTGCTACGTGGGTGATGTTTCCACACATTTTGCTCTGGTTACTTCATGATTAATTTACAAGTTTTCATATTATCAACACAGTAAGTTGTATCAGTTTCATATAGAGAATCAATTTTAATGGTCTATCACAGTAACGGGAATAGCTCGAAATACATCTAAATCGTCCTTTTTTGCTATTTATCAGGGTTACCTTTGAACAAATTTTCCATGAGATAAAAAATTCGTTTGCAGTAATAATCTACATCAAAACCTATTTTTCTCTTAATCTGCAAAACTTATCCCCTAATTCTTGGACCACGACAGGTTTACGTAGATAATATTAATTAAACATAGTTTTTGATGAAGACTAAATCGGACTCGCTGAGTATATTACATAGAATTATATTTTAGTGGCTGAATCCCGTGCGTTAGGAAAAATGAACACGCTCTACCCAGACGCCAAAATTTTTTGTCCAATATGAAATTAAAGTTGTCTTTTCTAATATTTCTATCTAATTCATTTTGGTCACTTAAATGTTCAGCGGAGTGCGATGAAATGACGTGTTCTGTCATTCTCCTAGGGTGGTTCAACTAAAAAAGTTCTTATTCTACTCTGCTTTAATTTCATTCAATTAATTTTCACCACGAAAGAGTGGAAAAGGAAACTTACGATTGAGAAACTTTGATGAAACCTTTAGGCTGCATTGTGTGGATATTATCACTGTTGTCACACAATAATCTTGACAACGATGCTTTCCTTATTTCGTTCAGTTGTTCTGTAAAAGACAAAATCAGAGTTAAGTACATACGTCGGCAAAAGCATCTGATTTACATACATTAAAGCCGCCCTTTAGTGCTCTTTGGCGCTCTGCGATACCCAGCCGCCAAAGTCCCCGATCCTCCCAAGACTCTTCAGTGAGTATGGGCACTCCCCCATTTACTCAGAAATACCCTATCACCACCCTTTTACTGGGCGTTCCAGGAGGAACCCAATCCCAGTATCTTCTTCAGCAGCCTCTCTCCCGCCATCCTGTTAACATGACCATACCAGACAAGCTGTTTGGTCATGATGTTGAATAAGATGTCATTTTCGACTTCCATGATCTGACACACTCTATCATTGCGGACCTGATCTCTTCTAGAAATTTCAGCCGACCCTCTCCAAAAATCCATCTCCGTTGCTCATAGCATATCCTGTGTCCGTTTCTTCAATTGTCAAACTTCAAATCTATACGTAAATATATTTCTGAATACAACGCTGTAAATTCCCCTCTTTTTCTTTTTGAAAATCTGCGGATCCCAGAGGAATCCATTCAACATCGCTATAGCTTTCCTCCCTAGCACAATCTCCCTCGCTAGATAATCTGATTTACTTCGGCTGTGAACTTTTTAAAATACAATAATCTGAAGAGAATTTGTGCACATGTGCTGTTCTCTGGATGAGTATGCTTAATATTCGTCAAAACTATGAACGTAAATACGATGATCATTTGGAAGTTTTTTTAAATCCATAAAAATGTATCTACGTCATCAATGACAAATTTTAATGTTTTTTTTTTTTTTTCAATTTAATTTTGGAAAAAATGATCTTTCACGCAAAAGACATTTTCCTCGGATGATGAAAATGTACCCTTGTAGCAATGACAATCGTTAAAAAAATTTAAAAGACCCTTTAAAAAAATGTTAACAAATTCATTCTCCATCCCAGGATTTGCAATCCTTGAATTGCAAGCTCGCGGTGTGCGCTGTTCGGAAATCGTGTATATCGAGGTAGGTTCGGCACCAAGAAAACACGACTTGAGCGCGCACCGTGGTATACGCGCAATGCATGAAGTATCCTGCAGACTTGTAAGGCGCTATACTACGCGAGGCGCGCACCGTGCTCTACGCGTAATGCACGCAGTATCCTGCAGACTTGTAAGGCGCTTGTCTGCAGTTTGCACTGTGCGCGCCAGCCTCGCGCCGCCGGCCGCACTTAGTTTGATCTGGTTATTCAAACTTGCGGCATCAGCGGTTTTCAAATTATCATATTGAAGTCTGTGTAGAGCTTGTCGGAATTATTGTCATTTCAAATATAAGACATTACATAAAACCCAACTAATTTTCCTCTCTTTATTTAGAAATTTTTATAAATAATTTTAAATAAAAGCATGCAAGTGAAGCGACTTTTACGTGTGACTCTCTCGTTGCTGAACAATGTAGGTAATCATTTGGACTGCATTTTGCTATTCGGAACTATACTTTCTTGCTTATCTGTGAAAACTCTCGTGTGCATAAGGAAACTAACGGTACATACGTTGTTCCTAAACGAAGTCAGAAATTGTGGTTCCTATTGCATATGGAGTTCATTCTATAAATGAACCCTTTCAAAGCGTAGGGTATGGATTCGACGAAGCGGAGAGTATGTATACGTACCAAACGTGTATAGATACCAAATATATTTTTTTCATATTTTCTGATTAGATATAGAGCTCTTATTATACGCACCTGGGGTGAAGGTGTTTGGTGAGTGAGGCTGTTCGTAGAAGAATCTATCTGAGACTCTCGTCCTGTAGAATTGTTCCAGGGACAGGCACAAGAAGGTCGGGCCGAGAAGTGTGTTTTCAATGTGTCTCTCCAGAGATCCTCCCACACTTAGGTCGACATCATCTACGCTAGCGTACAGGGATTCCAATTTCTCGATCCTCTGCAAAAGAGAGGAAGTGAAGTTGAAAGGAGATATAGAGGAATACAAATTAAGGCGGAACTTCAACACTGCAGATGACGATTCAATAACCGACAAATCAATCAGTGGCGTGGCGTGAATGATCGATTATCGATATCTCGCCATTTAAAGCTATGGTAAAGAATCGATTACTAGGGTGACCTTGATAATCGATCTTTTTTCATAGGTTTGAATGACGTAACAATCGATATATCGCAATTCACGCCACGCCACTGCAATCAATGGGCCAATAGACAAGGTCTGAGGTAGAAAGTAACGTCACATGTTTTCTGCCGTGGTGAGAAAAAACGTCGTATATATATTCAAAAATTGCGAAATTTCCTTCGATGAAGTGTTTATGTTTGAGGAGTTAATTCCCTCCCCATTTATTTGTTTGAGGCAAGCTATGGATATTATTCCGTGAAATTTTAAGGAGCTTCAGGCAACACTGTGAACATGATTATCTAAAAAATTAGGGGAAAATGTTTACAAATTTTACCAAAAATTCGTGATTAGAAAGTAACGTCACATGTTTTTTGCCGTGGTAAGGCAAAACGCCGTATGAACATTCAAAAATTGCGAAATTTCCTTTGATGAAGTGTTTATGTTTGAGGAGTTAATTCCCTCCTCATTAATTGTTTGAGGCAAGCTATGTATATTATTCCGTGAAATTTTAAGGAGCTTTGGGCGACATTGCGAACACGATTATCTGAAAAATTAGGGGAAACTGTTTACAAATTTTACCGAAAATTCGTGATTTAATGATAGAAATTTAGCAACGTCTGAAGGCTCATAAGTTGTTTTTCCTCAGCACGGTAGTTTTCTCCTCAAAATCTTACACGGAAAACAATTCACTGAACGGGAAGTTTTGAAATCAACTCCTCAACGAGAAATTAACAAGTGGTTTAGATACAGATCGAATGGAAGTTTTTTAATATAAATGACGTCATTTGTATTTTTGCCATTCAACCAATGTTAAAAGAAAACAAATATATTATGTTCAGGAGTCGATTTTCAGACTTCCCGTTGTGTGATTTATTATCCTTGTGAAATCTTAAGGAGAAAACACATGGCGTTGTGCTTTGATTCATCCTTTGTTTAGATGCTCATTCATAATTTCTGAATTTTAGGACATATAGGAATTGCCGATCATTCAACGTGTTCGTCACGAGTTTCACATTATTTTTGTGCGTCTGCGGGCCGATTATTGAAATTAATAGACAAAGCTATAGACAAAGAAGACAAAAGAGATATGGAGGGATCCCATTGGTAGAAGCAGCGGGTCGATTGTTGAATCGTTATCGAACGCTTCCGATCGATAAACCCCTATCTTAACAATGCTATATATCGATCAAGGTCATTCGATAACGATTCAACAATCGAGGAGCAGGTGGTTGTAATGGACGAAGGAGGTAGGTAATAGAATAAGTAACGTCAACTCACGAGGGACTCGATAGTTAGTCCATCATTTTCTCCCTCCGCCTATAGAAACCACCCACTTCAACCAATAGGATAGCTCCATACTCCCTATGCTTTCTTTGTCTATCGCCTTGTCTATCAATTTCAATAATCGGCCCATAGCGGGCCGGTATCACTACACACAATTTGACCGGAGAACACCTTGAAATAGCTCTGAAAGTATGTTACGAGTTAATATCGCAGATCGTTTTGCTTTCTAATTGTCTTCAAATGGTCGATTGTTCCGTTTTTAATCGATAGATATGGATTACATCTTGCAATAAGGAACTACTATTTCTGGCCCATTTTAGAAACAACATACATGCCATTGGTTTCCCTATTCAGATATATGCTTGTGTGGGAGAGCTAGAGATAGTGGTTCCTTGTTGCAAAATATAATCCATATAATCGTCCATCCCTAGAAAAAACCACAGTGGATGTGATGTGATCTTACCTCGGGGGTGATGTAATCGGCAAAGTCCTGGAATTTGTAAGCTCTTGGGAGGCCGCAGAACTCTCTGACGTCATTGTAGCTGGCCAAACCGTGGTCTCTGCCTCTTTGGATGTCGATGGCTCTCAAATCCCGACCGAAAGGCTTTCCATTTCTGAACAAGTAGTTAGTGATCTGAAACAGGAAATCGAATGCATCCGTCATGCCTCGTCAAATATAAAATTGCATCATTTTTGTCGGAAATTACGAAATTTTGAAGAATGACCCCCTTCAAATTAAAATTTTTGATGAAGAAAAACATGTTTACAGAAAATTTGTTTTTTGTGTGTCAAGTGAACAAGTAGTTAGTGATCTGAGACAGGAAAAGCAAATGCATCCGTTAGCCTCGTTAAAATAAAATTGCATCATTTTTGACGTAAATTACGAAATTTTGAAGAAAAATCCCCTTCAAATTAAAATTTTTGATGAAAAAAAAAACATATATACGGAAAATTTGTTTTTTTGTGTGTCACTAAGGCAAAACTCTCCCTGACCCCGCCAATATGAATGTGAGATGTAATGACTCACCTCAGCAGTGAAGAAGGGATCAATTTCCTCTTGGCTCTGAGTGGAGAGACCTCGGGTTAGGGAGTCCATGTTGTCTCCATCTTCGATGATTTCTGGTCGGTTGAAGGTATCGGATAACCTCACCGTTACTTCTGGTCTTTGCCGGTATTCGCTGAACAAGCTGAAACGAAAAATGTCAAATTTAATACAGAAATGGAGTGTAAGTCAATACGGATCTACATGGGGGCCACAGCAGTGATGCCGTGTTTTCAGTTTTAGAGTCCCCAAATAAAGTGGCAGCCCTGTCAATGTATTTGCTCCCTATCTTTGCATGGAGAGTTTGTCCTGATGTAGAGGTGGACTCCTAGAATAGCGTGGGATATCCCCTCCATTTCGGCCTCAACTTGAGAGCTTTTTTTGAGCTTGGGAGTTTATTTCAGGGAAAACCATAGTGGCACCATACTGTTTCTCGCAAACTTTTACTTGAGAACCAAATGTCAAATCGCAAATACCTCACACATGCAACATCTCCATTTAATCTCTGATTTTCATGGGAAGAGATTAAAATTAAGGCCTCTGACCGAGTCTTTTGGAGACATTTTCGGAATGAGAGCTGAGTGACTTACTGGAAGTATCCTTGGATGGAAGAGTGGAGGTATCTGAAACCGGCTGTGGCGTGTTCATTGATGGTGTTGGGTTCGACATGGTCGTTGTAGTCGTTGACATAGTCCTTGTGGGCTGGGGCAGGGTCTTGGATCAAACCGAATTTCACCATGTTGTCGGTACCTGATTACATGAAAATTTAAAGCTTTCGGTCAGGCACTAAGCAGTAATTAAATACCCACGAGAAACCCGATAGTGAGTCCATCATTTACCCCCTTCGTCTATAAGAAACACCCATTTCAACCAATAGGATCGCTCTGTATTCCTTATGTCTTCTTTGTCTATAGCTTTGTACATAACTTTGAATAATCGCCTCGCAAAGACATTAAACAACAAAAAAAATCTTTAGTGTAACTCCCCAAGTAGCATAGATTGTAATAAGTAGGGTGATCCAGAGTTAAACGGCCAGACTGCAGAAGCGTGTTTTAAGGGTCAAAATAAGACTTTTTTGTTGTATAAAGTTGTTTCCAAAAGTACCCCCTGTCGGAGCTATGGCCCCCCAAAATCTCGGAAACTAAATAGTTTTTCCTGAATTTTGGCAACGGTTGTGGACCAAATCTCATGAATATTTGTACTCCCCTGTACTTTTATGCTGTAAATTTATAAATGGTCTAAAAAAAATCGGAATCTCAATTTAAAGAAGGAGTTTAGCGGTGTTTCGGCTCTTGCATTCTGGCTGTTTAACCCTGGATCACTCTGTATTATTAGACTGCATTAAGCAATAAGAAAGTATTGCTTCTAGCAGTTCTAGCATGTATCTGCACAGAAAATCTAACGGCACATACGTTGTCTCTAAAATTAAGCAGAAACAGTGGTTCTTTCTTGCATAATGTTACTTATTCCATCGAGTTATTGGTACCAGAATATAGAGAAGTGTGCTTTACTCGGACGTATTTCTGTTAAACGGAACTAAGCGCCAAATTGAGTTATTTTTGAGGATTTTAGAATCTCGGTTAGCGCGTTCTGTCAAACGGCACTAAGCGCCGTGGAAAAGCATTACGAGTATAGGACCTCCCCCCACGGCGCTTAGTTCCGTTTGATAGAAATACGTAAATTTTGGAGACTTTAACGCTACACCAGAAAAGCTTACTAAATTTATTACCTAAAAATGACCAATATTTGTAGTTTTTTTTCGTCAAATATATTACAATTTATTTTGTGTTGATCACCAATAAAAAATAATTTTAGAATATACGAATTTTTATTCCAATTTTTCTTTAAAATTGTTTTAAATATGAACTTTACATGAATTTTACTTTGAACAAATAAGTGCTCCCTTTCTCCTACATTTTTAGTCTCGACTCGGTAGTCAATGCTACTAGAGCGGGAATTTCCGAAACTTAACGAGTCTATCGTGCGTTCTAATCACCAATCTCTGTGTCTAATTCTAATTAATTACTGTTCATTTACAGGACCCGCCTACACAACGGGTTCTTGAAAGAGGAGCATCTCTTATAGGTCGAGTAAAAATATCGGGAAAGGAGATAGTTGTCCTTACCAAGGATGATAGGCAACCATTCGTAGTAGTTGATGTGTTGATACTCGGCGATGACGATTCTTCTGGCTTCCTGGTAGAGGGTCTCGTCGTCCCAGTGGGGGTTGATGTGTGCCAAAACGGTGGCGACTCTGTTGTGTTCTCGGAGGAAGATGATTTGCAGGACGGTCAACTGTGGGTTTTGGTTGGCACGGGTGTCACCTGCAGGGCAAAATCATATGATTAGCAACTAGAGACGCTGCACAGTAGAGGTTGATCAATTTATGATACATTTATGTGGATTGACCATACTCACTAGAAATAGTGCTGTAATGATATTGTAATGGTTGCTTTGGTAAAATGACATGAAAATAAAGTGTGCCAAATGTGTGTGTAAATTTCGCAAATTCGATTTATTTTCATCCACGTGTGTATCAAATCTATTCAAATAGCTCAGGAAAATCCGACATGATCCGATAGTCGCTGAGAATCGTTGCTGAATTTTGCGCGACACGTGAAAAATTCAGGCATCGGGCCGATGACTTCCACATTCAAGCGTGTGATTGTGTCATACGAGGCAAATTCTCCGAAGCGATATCTCGGTTGATATTTCATGGAGAAAGTTGCTGTTCGGATACATCTAATTATTTTTAGCTTATCTGTAAGAATCAAGCATCAAAACTCTTTTCTGAGACCAGCGCAACTGATCCATTCTGTCCAGATCATCGCCTTTAAGAGTGGAAGGAGACAAGACAGCAGAGATAAATCGACTTACCAAACTCGTAGCAAGGTTCTTCCTCTCTCTGGGTGTCGCAGGTGGCGCTCTTGTTCTGGGCCGCTGGAGGCCATGGGCGTCCGTACCTGAATTCCGTCAACAAGCGACCGCCAACGAATTCACGCAGTCTGCGGGCCATCTCATCGGTTGAGCCGTAGACGAAAGAGGCGTCCATCCAGTGAGTCACAACAACCAACTGTGCGAAAAAAAAAAAAAAAAAAAAAAAAAAAAAAAAAAAAAAAATTGTAGTCACGAAATGTGCAATTCAGTTTAGAATAACGAATTCTTAAAACGGATAATTTGACTTAACACTGAAAAAAAAATTACGGACTTTATAGACATACCGTCTGTTCCGGGCTCATAGGTTGAAAGTTCCGGGTGCTAGAGCCGTAGCATTTACTGCTCCGGGTGCTGCGTCCGGAGCTTTTGGCGTCTGACCCCGGAACACGGACGGTATGTGTATATAACCCGTAGCTACGGCTTCCATGGCCGGAGTTTCTTTTTTCGGTGTATTTTTAACACTTCTATTTGACAAACGTAGGTTGCCCTCAGATGAAAGAACTGTTGGTAACACACTGTGCTCACATAATCTACTTTTAAGTAAGAAACCGTGTGTTTTTCGCCTTTATTCAACGACACGTGCAAAAACAGATTCTGCGCGTCAAACTGGTCACAGGTCACATCCACAGGGATGCGCTCCATGTACCCCATGTTATTCAAAGCCTTTGAGTCTGAATTCAAGAGTGGGTAAAATTTAAGAAGCATTATTGGAGAGGGAGACAGAAAAAAAATGATTTCGTATTTCATGAAGTACGGAAGCAAATCTCAGGAAAATTCAGTTGTGCATACTTTGGATTGATCTGCTTGACTCCAGCTCAGAGGATATCCCTCAAAAGGTTTTTATTTTTATTTCCTTCTTCCACAAGGGAGAAGCACATTGTGTTGGACATCAGAACATAGTATACTGCAGAAAAACACTTAAATTTCTTTGGCATTTTGAACTTTAAAACTAGAAGTTCCGAGAAAGAACCAAATACTAAAATTAAAGAAAGTAAGGATTTCCTCGAAATTATGCTTGGGATTAACCACTGGTATTTCTTTTCGCAATGATACGTAGAGCTTGGTGCAACCAAGTTTCAAGTTGACACTTATTGAACCAAACTCAACAAAAATACGTCAAGTCACATCATGAATCGACCCAGAATAGGAAGTTTGAAGTTCATTCTTGCTTAAGACTCAATGTTAAGGATGAAGTTTAACAACTATATCAGGTTCAAAATATTTTTTCTTGACTTTGAATTATTGACAGGAAAAAACTTCCAACTGGTTAAACCCACCAAACCTATATACCACCTTATTTTTCCCAAAATTCAACATGGTGCGTTCCTGATAAAGTCAGTCCAAAGTAATCAACCTTTTCCTATTTTTCGTGGTATTTATTTTGAAAATATAGACGCTTTGGTGCGTTTTCTTTGTCAGTATATTTCGGTCGTGCTTCTGTATTGACTCTAATACACATGCTTCACCTGTTCAGCGGGAGTGTGGCCAGCATTGCAGCCGGTGTCGATATCAGTGGTACTCCTGACGAAGTTCATGCAGTCTCTGTTGAAACGTCCGAACAGAGGGTCATTGTCGGGGATCTTGATCGGGAAGCAAGTGGGACCCTGGTACTCGGCTAAGTGACCGTCCTCGCTACAACAGTGAGTTGAGTGAGCCTCTGGAAAAAATAAGAAATTCACAAAGTGAGATGGTATTATATTTTTAAGAATTAAGTACATGTTATTATTCATCATATCTTCCTCTAAACTTACGAGGAAAAAGCAAAAGAGAAAAAGAAACGACGATGTCTCTTTTTACGCTCGATGCTGAATGTAAGAAAATAATCTGTGACAATAGTCACATACTAACGTAAGAGCCTCCACTATTTGGATCGCGTTAAGCAGAAAGGAACCAAGCCACATCAGGTACTGACAAATTTAATTGGCCATATTTCAATTTTTTACCTGAAAACTATTGCGAAGATTTTCGTGCAAATTTCAGTGAATTTTCTGCATAGTACGAAGCAAATGCCTTAACATTTTTAAAGGAAACCACACCGAAGTTCTCTTGTATAAAATTTAAATTGCCCAGTTAAGTAGGGCAATATCTAATCTGTGCTCCTTTCTGCTTAACGCTGTCCAAATTTTTCACTCTTACAAGATGAACTTTATTTTGGACCCGCACTAACTCGGTTACCACACCGAACTCCAGACTCATTTGTTCCAGTATAGTGAATTTTACATCGGACCTTTTTATCTTTTTACTTTTGTGGTGATATAAAGGTTGTTCCTCAAAACCTTGCTATGGCTCCTAAAAAATGCTGCGTTGCTACTAAGACCGTCACCACAAAAGTAGAAGTGTAAACACAACTAGAAAAGTAGGTAGGAAATACAATACACTGGGGTAAAAACACATTAAATCTAGAGTCCAGACTTTTAAAAACATCGACAAGAAAAAATACTCTTGATTCAATCAGATTTAAGCTTACATCAAGAACCAAGCCTCTTAATTTGAGCGGATTTCCTTTTGATTTAAGCTTAAATCTGATTGAATCAAGAGTTCTTTTTCTTGTCAATGTTTTCAAGAGTCTGGACTCTAAATCAAATGTGTTTTTTTCTAGTGTATGAGTATTGCGAGAGCGCAACGATTCGCCTTTCGTGATGATCTTTCGCGTCAAAAACCGGCGGAATCATCGGATCCATCCTCATTTCGCAAGACGGAATCCGAGCGTCCGGAAGTAGTCCGAAATAAATCACAATCGAGGTATGGAAATCAGAGGCCGGGAACGAAAACTCATTCAACTCGGAGCCGGTAATCGTTTTATAATGGGAGCGAAGTCGTAATAAACCAGGGTAATGCGGAGAGAGCCGTAGGACGTTGCTCTTTTGTCGAGCTTTTCTGCCGCATACATATGAATGCGACGTGCCCGGCCGTAAAACAACAATAGGCAATAAATCATGTTAAAAACGCGCCCGGAGCATTGTGCGTGCTCTTTAATACGAGGCTCTAGCTTCGATGATTTAATTACGGCCGGAGATAACTATTCGTACTCCGGTGTTGGTGAAATTGCTGACACGCGTATTTGAAGGCGTTTTTAATTCGTGGCGTTCATGATTTCGAGTCGATGGGACGCTCCATGCAGTGGCGAGCTTTTGAGATGCGATGTTGAACCTGAAGGAGTTGACGCAAACTATCCTGATTTTGAGCACTATACCAACGATTACAAAAAGTTAACCGGCAGAAATAAAATTCAAATTGAAAATTCGAGGATTCAAGTACTCGCTATTTTGTTGAAATGAACTTCAGAGGTGTTAAAAAGATAAGAGGAATATTTTGGTATAAAAAGGGCTATTACTAAGAAATAGTCAGTAGAACTCTAAAATACCCCTCGTTAAGACAGTATTTGACCATTAAATTTGAATTTTAGCCATTTGTGAGATGTCTATTTTAATTTATTTTTTTTTTTTCTGGTAGAAAAATGGATTACACTGCATAAATCATGATGATTTGTTCAATGTTTCACAAACTTTTTTTCGCTTCAAAGCTTTTTTTTAAAAAAAAAGTATACATTCTCTCAAAGATGAGAAAAATGCTGTCAGTTGTAATTTTTGAGACTTCTCAAAACTGGAAGTCAGCCTACAAAAAGAGAGGGGGTTGAAATCGATCAGCATGGTCACTTACGAAGGATTTGCTCTATCAAGAGAAAAAGGAGAATCTTTAGTTTCTTAAACGATTGAATCTCAATCACTTTTTTGAGGGCCCATTTTTTGAGGATTAATACACTTATGAAGCAAACCAGCTTTTTTACGAACTGATGAATTAGTATATAGCTATTTTCTTATGTGAGCCGATGTAATGAGTAATTTTTCACGCGAAATCCTAATTAATCAGTGATGTGTTCAAACTACAAGAAAATCTGGCGGAATCTTCTTCCAATGCACGCACAAAAGGAGAACGCCAGCTATTCCTAATAGCTATTTTTAAGAAGTTGAAATTATCACACGTACTTCCTTGGCGAGTTCCCATGGACATAGACATGTCGTGAGTGATGATTTGACCCCAGGTCATCGTAATGAGGGTCCAGACAGGGTCGTTGATCGGAAGATCTTGGAAGAGGACGATGGAAACCAAACGAGGGCTAGGCAGTTCGGTTCCGGTGACGGATACTGGAGGAGAGTGAATTCCTAAAGACAGAATAAAATACAGAAATAAATTAAATAAGAAAGCAATCGCGTGCAAAAAAAATCGGGAAAACCAAGGTTTTTTCCTCTATTCGCTAGGGAAAACGGTTTTGCTCAACTGCCTATAGAGGTACGTGAAATGGCATTGCCAAGATTTAGATCAGGTATACCAGCCCTGGCCGAATTAGTATATAGTTCTGCGAGGGTAAAGGGCTGGTAACAAACGGATAATTAAGGTGCTATACTGTTCAAGGACCAATTCCTTGAGCTATTTTTCCTGTAAAATCAATTTTAAGGATTTCGTGTTTTCTTCGCTTCAAACATTTTGAAATGGAAAAAATCAAAGAAACTTATTTTCTGAAAGCTCCTCATTTTGGTCAAAGAAGGATGGAGAGCTCATAGTTTGTAGGTATTAAGAAATGCGAAAAAAAAAAATGAAATTGCTGATTCAACAATTTTGTAGTCGAAAAAAGTGTTCAACATGTTTCAATGCCGATTTTACAATAACAATATGCTAATTTCACCACCCGCGTGGTAAAATTAACTTAAATTGTAAAATGTACTTTTGAAACAGGTTGGACATATTTTTTATTTTATTTTTAAATCAGCAATCCACTTTTTTCCGCGAACTTTCCGAGAAGTTTTGTGAAATTCGGTGACCAGAAATGAAGAACTATTAATATCGTGAAACATCATAAAAAAACTGGTTGTAGTATTTTAAATTCGAAACCGTTTTTTTTTTCTTACCATCGGCGTACTTGGAGGGAAGGAGACGAGCATACTGAGTGTTTGGTGTTCCCCAAAGTGGGTTCTTCAAGTTGTTGCATGATCCGTCTATCGTTCTGTATTTTGAGTCTACGCAGTGAGGAACTGGCGTCGTGCAGATGGCGTGTGGGTCAGATGCGAGCGGCGCTGAGCCCAAACCCAAGTACCTGAAATTGAAAAATTATTTCCATTATTTTGAAAACTGCATGAGCACTTTTCAGGAAGAAAGTTAGTGCTCCTTCACTTGAAAGGTTATGCGATTTCAGCTGCCTGGGAGTTGAAAAAATCGTATTCTGTTTATTGGTCCGTTAGGAAAAGGAGCAACGCTTTCTTTTGTTGAGTAACGAAGGGCTATCTTTCTGTTCCTTTTCCACATCACTGAATTTTGGCGTAAATTTATACTTTTTATGTCATTAGTCTTGCATTTCAAATTTTATTCTATTTGATTAGCGCTTAACGTAGAAATTTACCAGAGACGGACGGGGCCAGCGGGGTAGATGTAGATATCCTGACCTAAACTTATCTTGATGTTTAATTTCATAATAATATTTAACATTATGATATTGTCATAATGTTCATATCGATCATCATACGCTTATAAAATCGGCACATTTTTTAAAAGTCTGAGCACAACCCTGCGAAAAATGGTGAGTACAAATGAGTAGAAAATCAAAGTCATAGGAATAGAATTTCAACTCATAAGAGCAGAATTTCTCTATTCACATTTCGCCGACTCATATGACTAGAGATTCCAACTCATATGACTAGAGATTTCAACTCACATGAGTTCAGCATTGAATCTACCGTGTCCGATATCTCAGAATCTAGTCACCGCATCAAAAAAATTAGAAGAATAAAATGTTCTTATTTTTCAAATTTACGGTTCATGTCGGTGTCTCCGGATTAAAAACACCACTTCTGAAAAATGAAAAAAATTAAATTCATATGAGTTGAACTTATCTACTCTTATGAGTAGAATATTCTAGTGATATGAGTAGGATTTCTACTCATATAAGTAGGAAATTCTACTCATGTGAGTAGGCGAATTCTGAATAGCCTACTCATCATTTTTAGCAGGGAATGAATTATTGTACTAAAATCTTACCCGGAGTCAATTCCAGTGGGGGCTCCAGAGTAGCCTCCAGTGCTGAAAGTATTAGCATAGCCAGAGGGTCCAGATGGGCCAGAGGGGCCCGATGCATGGAACAGTGATCTGTGGCTCACGTATGATGTCGCTGGAGGGTAACCTGTCAACACACAGTAATTTCATTAGGGTTATTTTAACTTTACACTGGTAAAAAAAACCTCTTGGACCAATGCCGCATTGCATTGACTTAAGAGTGCAGTTTCTTGTCGCAGGATTTAAGAGTCTTGGACTCTTGTTTCAAGCGGCATTGATTCAAGCGGATTTTGCATTGATTCAAGCGGATTTTGCATTGATTCAAGCGGATTTAGCATTGAAACAAGAGTCCAGACTCTTAAATCCGGCGACAAGAAACAGCACTCTTGAACCAAGAGGTTTTTTTTTTTACCAGTGTAAATAATCGCATATCATCCTTATCCTAGTGTCAAAGGTCAAACTGACCCCGGCATGGTAAAAAAAAACGTGATATTTGTGCTCTATGGGACCTCTAGGAGGACCTGAGATATTGATTCATGCTCCGCAGCCCGTGACAAGATACGAGTATACACTAATAAAACAAATTACACAGAGGGTAAGAAGGCTAATTTTCACGTAATTACCACTAAAACGTTTCGGCTGAAAACTCGGCCTTCCGCAGTTGGATAAAGACACTGAAAATTTTTATAAATCTAAAAACGTAGTGTAAGTCTAGGGGGATCTTACCACTCCGTAGCACACCCCCCCCCGAATCGTTTACCACATGGATCGCGCACGTCTGCACATGTTAGCCGTCCTATACTTGCACACGCCGTATCTCTACGGGGCGTTTCACGGGCTTTTTCCCAAGATTCCCAAGTTGGATGAATAATGACCAAGATGACGAAGTTGAGTAGTTGGTTTGAAAATCCCAACCTCCTTTGAAAAACTCGCGGGGCAAACTGCCCATTCCGACACTCATCAGTCATCACCAGGCGAATTTTAATTTAATTTGTTGTTCTAATAACAAAGTTGCTCATCAACCATCAACAGGCGAAAAAAATCATGGATCTCACTCGATTATATTGCTTAAATTGTTGATGCAGGATCCCTCAAATGTATGGACCGTAGTCATTACATCAAACAGGTGAGTTTGTATCGATATCGCTTGGTTCAAAATGTAAATATTGCCTCAAAAATAAATCGATTAAAGTGAGGAAACGAGTTTATTGTGATGGATTTTTGATACTAGTACAAAATGGTAATGTTGAGTGAAATCGTTTGGATTTTTTTTCATTTCAGCTTTTCCGACTTAGATCCTAAAATTTTTGTTTGAGGTTATGTTCTATTGTTCTGAGCCAATCGATACGTCGAACCACTATCGAATAAGATATACAGATCGTTTTCGATACATCAAATAGGTGAGATTGTATCGATATCGATTGGTTCAACATGTAAACATAGCCTCAAAAGTCAATCGAGTAATCTGAGGAAACGGGGTTTTTCTGATGGATTTTTGATTCTTATGAGTACTAAATGGCATCGCACGGTAAAATAGTTGGGAATTTTCTCAATTTCAGCTTTTCCGACTGAAATCCTGAAAGTTTTGTTTAAGGTTATGTTCTATTGTTTTGAGCCAAACGATACGTCGAACCACTATCGAATACGATCTATTGTCTCTGTGCGGGACGGAACTTGGAACTTGGAGTGAATTCGACTGTTGGAAGGGCAGCGATGGGGACCCGGGAACCGCGGTGACACCGGTGATTGGTGAGCAGCGCGCACAATGCTCGCCCATTAAAAGCGTTGCTCGGTGCGTCTCGGGGATTCGGCGCCAGCCCGATCCGGATCCCAGCCTCATCACTGCTGTCTTAGGCAAAAATACCGTATGAACGTTCCAGTGTTGCCAAATTTTCCCCAAATTGAAGGAGGGTTTCAAGAAATTATGTCGAGAATTTTCTCCCTTTCAAAAAAAAAAAAATAATAATAATAATAATAATAATGACGAATGGTCTTTAGTGTTGCAAACCGAGATACGCGTCCCAGCAGTTTCACCGTCCACATGTTTGACGTCCTGAGTCATTGAATATGAGTTAAATACAGATTACTCCTATCAGGAATGACTCTACTGCTTAGTATCATTCAATGTCCGTCTTCACAGAAAAAATGATATCGCTGATTTAACAATATTGTAGTTTAAAAAAGTGTCAGACATGTTTCAATGTTGATTTTACGAGTAAAAAATGCTAATTTAATCACCCCCGTGGCTTAACTCGCTTTCGTTTATTGTAAAATGCACATCTGAAACACGCTGGATATATTTTTTGACAATTTATTTGTCAGATCAGCAATCCAACATTAATTTTCGGATACGAACGACATTGCGTTTCTGAGCCTTATGACTTAATTTTTACCGACTTTAGTTGTTTTTCTTGAGCTTGCGTTAAAGTCTCCTCAGTGAAAAACGTTCTCCTATGCTGTCATGTCGGAACTGTTGGAGCACTTGACATGGCTAGAAATTAAGTAATTAAGGAAACACAGCAGATGCTTTCTCATAAAAATTCCTCACAAATTACGTTGAACGCATTAAAAATTTTCAAAATTTACCCTTAAAGGAGAAATGAGCGTTCGGTCATTTTTTTTCGAGAGTAAGTTTGGCATGGTTCAAAAGTAGACACGGCGTTTTTAGCTTAAGACGGGAGACTAGGGTTGAGGTACGAAGAAAATTCTCCAAAAAACGCCTAGAAATTCTGATCACATTTTCCGGCCAATTTTTTCAGGGTAAATTTGGCATGGTTCAAATATCGATACGGGGTTTTTGCCCAAGACGGGAGATCATCAATCAGATGTTGGGAGCATACGGCGGCGTCTGTGAGCTATGACTGAATGGGGAGCGAGCTGCGAAGGAACGATTGAACCATGCCGGGCTGGGTCAAGGCCGGCTTTACTATGTCATGTCACACTCCAACTGTCAAATCAAATTCCTCCCAAGGCCGCCTCCCCCGCCCCTGACTTGATGTCTCTCTCAGCAACTCCGCGGTTTCATCAATGGAGCCTCTCCAGTTTCGCACCGCGCCAAGTTCAACTTTCCGCCGCGCCGCCGAGCCGCTAATGGGCCACCTCCCAGGATAGGAATCGAACACAGACGATATATCGACGGAGGAACTGCAAAAAGCGTATCTCGGTTGCGGTGTCTCGAAATCTCCGCTAATATTTTATTTTTTGGCTTGAAATGGAGATGTTGCATGTGTGAGGGATTTGTGATTTGACCATTGATTCTCATGTAAAAGTTCGCGAGAAATACGATGGTGCCACTGGTTTTCTCTGAAATCAACTCCCAAGCTCAAAAAAAGCTCTCAAAGTGAGGCCAAAATGGAGGGGATATCCCACCCTACTCTAAGAGTCCACCTCTACATCAAAACAAACTCTCCATGCAAGGATAGGGAGCAAATACATTGACAGGGCTGCCTCTGTATTTGGGGACTCCAAAACTGAAAATACGGCAACCCTGCTAATGTATTTGCTCCCTATCCTTGCATGAAGAGTCTGTTTTGATGTAGAGGTGGAATCTCAGGGTAGGGTGGGATATCCCCTCCATTTTGGCCTCACTTTGAGAGCTTTTTTTGAGCTTGGGAGTTGATTTCAGAGAAAACCAGTGGCACCATCGTGTTTCACGCGAACTTTTACACGAGAATCAATGGTCAAATCGCAAATCCCTCACACATGCAACATCTCCATTTTCACAGAATAGTCTTTACGCCTTTGTCTCCACGGGACGTTCCATGGGATTCGTCCCAGGAAAAAGTCTCACTTGCGGAGTTGGAAAAAATATTGGGTTAGTCAATGCTAATCACAGTACCGACTAAGAGTCCTTGTGGAGTCCTAAGAACGACTTCAAAAGAAGAAGAGGAAATTTTGTTGTGTTTTTGAACGGGGAAAAAAGCCCAGAAGTTTCATTCCTATGATTTGAACTTGGGAAAAATCCCCTGAAACGTCCCGTAGAGACAAGGCGTGAAGAGAAGAAAAATCACGGAAATTTTCCAAAAATGACGAAGAAAAAGGAAAATTTCCAAAAAATCATCATCTATATTTCATTGTCCATGACAAAAAGGATTGTAGTTCCCAAAACTTCAAAATTAAGTTTTTCGATCAGAACATAAAGTTTTGTTCAACGAACGTATGGAGATAAAATCGCCAAAACATGTCAAACCAAGCTATTTTGTGTGCATAAAATTTTGATAATAACGAATATCTCGTAGGAGTTTAATTATAACTCATGTCTAGTGGTCCATTAAAACCAATTGACGCAATATATCACATGAAAACCGGTTAATCAAACCCATTCTAATGATATGATTGGAATGAAACGGAATTTATAGAATATTTGACACCTTCCTGTGGTGTTGTATAGTGTATAAGTATATTGCGATGAAGGAGGAGTTGTGAAAGTGTGACTGGCGTGCAGTTGTTTTTGAAGCACTTCAAGTGCTTCACATTTTTGAAGTCTAAAACTCACTTTTCCCCCCACAACACGTGTACAACATTTATGCACTTGGAGGTTCACTAATTTAAACGTTTTAAATCTTTTGAATGAAAATTTGGACACATTTGGAAAAATAATTGATCTACAATAGCTTTTACAATATGTATGACATTCAGTATGTGAATGACTTTAATTACCTGCTGAGTAGTTTTGGAGGAGGGATGGCTCTAGAGGATTGTAGTACCCTGATGGTTGGAAGAGGGACTGACTGGTGTGCGCTAGTAGAAGACATGTTAATGCTGAAAAAGCCAAGCGGGCCATCTGAAACAGAGAAAAATAACCACTGACGTTAGCGAATGAAAAGGCGGACAAAGACAATTTTTAATAAATACTCTGAAATCTTCATACATGGGGTTAAGAAGAAAATATTATTTTTCAATAAGGAACAAGAACGGAAAGATATTACCGCACGAGATAACGTACATGAATAGGCATTTGGCACACATTGCTCCTTTACTTTGGACGACGGTTCACCCTCTCATTTTTACAACCACGCTGAGTTAAGGAGAGTGCGTGGTGCTCGGGTCCAGCACACGTAGATCTGGCGCGTTCCGATTTGTGGGTTTTGAGGATCTTTGGCGCAAAAGAGAAGTTCTTGGTCACGAGCCACTTCGTGCGGGGTCCAGTAAAATGAAACGATCAAAGTCGGTCCAGATTTCTGTCAGCGGTGAGGCAGGGGCACATTAAGCTCATGACTTTAAACACCTTGGTATGCCGGGCAGGCCGGGCCGCAGACGGAAAGGAGACGCGGCCGGCCTGATAATGGTAATAAAAAGGGGAAAACTCTTGCTAAATACGCAGACCTTCGGCGGCGAGGAGAATGGAGCCCCGGCCGGTGTTAATGTAAGTACTCTCGTTTAATAACCCTCAATAGCGTTAATGCCTACAGTCCTCGGTCGTTCCTATGAAAATGCATAATGGAAAGATTATTGCTGCGGGTCAGTAATGAAGCGTGTTCCATTCTCTGACAGTTCGTCAGTCTTATTGCCCTTCTGCTCCAGCAAATTCAGTTTTCCCACCGGAGATAAGGAGAGACTCTCCAGTGGTATCTCGGCTACATAGGCAGCTTTGACTTCAGGGACTTCAAAATGGTGCTGGGTATTTTTCCTTTTTGTTTTCCTACATCAGGTTTCCCTAATACTTTTTTCCGTAACGTAAACATAAGCAGAGCAGAGGGAAATGTTTCAGAAAGTGTAAAATTTCCTCAGCGAGTCGAATATAAGCGCGTGAACAGGAGACAGCACAATCTGGGCCTTCTGTACCCTCAATACAAGGTAAAGGATGAGGCTCCCCTACTTGCAGGCATGCGGCCAAAACTTTAACTTGTGAGGTACCGATGTTATTTTTTTTTTAAAATTGAATTTAGGACAAATGCCCCCAGGAAAAAAGCCAGTAGGACATCTCACTTTGAGGACTAACTGTGATGGGACAAAAGACTAGTGGGAAAAAAGTATTAGGAAAACGCGGTAGGAAACAATGTTCTAGGAAAAATGAGTTGCCACCCTTCATAATTCATCAGCTCATATATTACTGGGTGGAAGTTTGAGAACATGTTATGAGCATTTCATTCAGAAAAAAAGTTAAGCCTGGTAAATTTTTTTGACGCATTATGTTGCGCGAGCTGAGCCATCAAGTGGTGGTCTTTAAGGATTAAAACTTTGAAACTGGAAAGATGTAAGCGAAATCAACGTTTTATAAAGGCTTTTATAATTTTTGATCAGTGTAACTTGTTGAAATGTGAAAAATAGATAATTTGAGTTCATAGGCTGGCTCCCTTTTTGGGCCCCAAGAGCTACATAACCTAATCAAACCTAACCTCCAAATTTTCGAGTTGTCCAAGTTCTCCCTATAAAGGTACTCTCAAAGACATAAAGACGGAGCGCTCGTATCTAAAAGCACGGGGAAAAAGTGAAGCTAGGTTCGGCGCTGCGCGCTTGTGTGAGTGTGTAAATGAGCGCGGGAATCCATGGCGGCAAACGGAAATTTGATTTGAACTTGTCCTCTTGATTTTTGCATATTTCTACTTCGAAACGTATTTTAAATTCCTAAAACGAATATACTAAGAAAGTTCGGTCTGCGTCCTAATATAATACACCTACTTTTGCTCGGTAACAGGCAGTAATCTCACATAAAGTTAGTTTTTCTTCTGCTCATGGTGGTTCTGCAGGTTCAAACAGGCCGTTACAGTTCTAGATCAACGTTACTCCCAAATGAAATTAATCGGTCGACGACGGACTGAAACTAACCTAAAGTTAAAAAAATATGAGTGTGTACCTGAATTTGGGCAAAAATCAACCTGAAATACTTTGTTTCCGCAATTTTATTTATTAGTTCCCGCCCTCTATTTGAATTCAAACTTGTCCCGATTTCGCCGCCAATCCTCTAGCCAATAGTAGAGGTGATTGAAAAGAAGCTCTAGAAGCTTCATTTTTTGCTTTTAGTGCTCCGTCTTTATGTCTTTGGCTGGCTCCCTTTTTGGGCCCCAAGAGCTACATAACCTAATCAAACCTAACCTCCAAATTTTCGAGTTGTCCAAGTTCTCCTCATAAAGGTACTCTAACCTTAGGCATAGCCTCATCTTCGTATCCAGCGGGGAATTTCTCGTTTCCATTGCGGAATCACTGTCAGTGGAGGAGTGGCGGTTGGCAACAGTGCGTGGCGCGGCGCGGAGCTTATGACGAGAATTAATTAGCTCTCGGATATCGTGACGTGCCGTGGAGCAACGACGTGACGTGGGCCGCCGATCCCACGTTAAGTACCCCCCGGGACCCGAGGGCGAGGGGTGGCAGGGGGTGCGAGGCGACGCGGTGAGAATTATCCTATCATAATATCCACAATTATGCCCAATATTTTACGACATAATGCCCCGCAACAGTCTAGCACCAGCTTCGCGCCTGTGTTTCGCGCCGTTCTGTCGGATCGCAGAACAGTGGCCGTTCCCCCAAGGTTGGCAACATTGATTTTCGTCCATTGACAGCCTTCGTAAATAATCGATTACGCCTTCCGATGGATATCGATTGTTTTACATGCATTTAAATAGGCGAATCTCGGTGCTGCCAACGGAGAAACCCACTTGTGTTCTGTATCTCTTCAAGCGGGAACAATAGCGACTTGGCAAGTATGCTGACTAACGACATCATTAGGATTAGATTGGACGGGGAGGAATCAAGTTTTTCGGAAAATAAGAGATTGGATAGGAAAAGAAAGCATTATCGCAGAATTGCCTTTTTGCTTTTCATGGAAAAAATTCTCCAATCAAAACTGTGAATTTCAATAAATGCGGAAACTTATTTCGTTGCTAGTAGACCAAAAGGAAATCGCAAACATAGCAAAAATCATTTTTTCCTTTTTTAAATTTTAAATAATTGGGTTCTCTTCTTTTGAATAGAGTCAAATCACTTCAGAGAAAGGGGCCAACTGCATGTGAAACTTATGGAGTGCTTTTTTGAACCCGAAGAACAGACAGCTTATTTCCCCTAAATATGATTCTTTTCTGTTAAACTCTATCTATTTCAGCTGAATTGAAGAAGAAATAACTTACTACTATAGGAATGAGTGATCAAAAGCTACTTTTCAACTTGAAATTTTAATTTTCTTCTTTTAGAGAAGTTTTTAAAGTGGTTGCAGAATGACAAACTTTGCAATTACGTGTAAAAACAATTCCTTGTTCATTGAGAGAGCCAATCATGCGGGTGAATAGAAAAAAAAAAACACATTTTTTTTTCTTTAAAACGCCCTCTTTTTTGTGTAAATCTAACTGTGTAGCTATTTGAGTGATCGAAATGTTCTCTGAGTTGTTACAAAGAATGACATCTTAGCATTTCTCGACGTATTAAAGAAACTCCTCAGGGTATGCGCATTGTGCATAGTTTGAATTATTTCTGACTGGCGTGCTCAGGCATTAATGGCCAAACTCAGTCGTGAACTCTGAACTAACTCCCTCACACACTGTTTCGGTTATGAATTAACCGCGATCTGAGTTGACAGGTTTGAAATTCAATAAGGAGTTCACAATTAATACAAATGTGCCTTTTTTGATACGCGAGGCGTGGTATTTGCTGATCGGCGTGTTGCAGCCTGGCCAACGAGAGTTTGGGGAAGGGATGTGAGTACACTGGAAAAAAAAGAATCTTAAATTTGCCACCAAGAAGTATTTCTTCTTAAATCAAGAATTTTGCTGGTTAATATAAGCTACTTTTTTGCTTAACCCAAGCATTATTTTTCTTGAATCAAGAAAAAGTCAGCTTAAAGCAAGATAAAGAAAATTCTTGGTGGCAAATTCAAGAATTATCATGCTTGATCCAAGCTACTTTTTTTCAGTGTACTGGAGTAATATTAGTAGTTAGCAATACTTTTTCTTTCCTGGATTTTTGGCTTAAATTCCCCAGGACCTATAGCAACTACGAACAGGACCGACAGCGTTGTTCCGACAGGACCTACAGTTTAGGACTTTATTTATGTTATTGTCAGTAGACATCAAGGGATTTCCGGCACATCTACGGTCCAGGATTTTCAAATTTTTAGGGATTAAGGTTAAGTAGAATCCGTTGCAGTAAGATCCACTCCAGTCCGTTCCGTAAAAATTTGACGCCACTACCGTGATTGGAACCCGGGACCTATTGACCTAGAGTCGGACGTACTGACCATTAGGCCGACCTGAGCGGCTTAGCACTACTTTAACTCGCCATTTATACATAGTGTTTTTGTTTTTGACTGCCTGTGTACCTATGTCTTTTTCCGTGTAAGAATCCCGATACCTAATCACCTATCTCGAAATCAGGTGGATCGCAAGTGGATCAAGTCCACTCCGTCATCAGTTTTGGAAATGTCCCATCGAGCGACCTTAGGGATAAATTCCTCAAGAGACAATTGTATTCGGTACCACCTCTCCGCTGCAGGTCACCGCGGCACGGCCGTATCATTACCCAGGGTCGAATCAGAAAAGGACTAATGAAAGTTATCAAACATTTAGCAAGGCGGGATCTTACGCACCGCACGCGATCGTATCGCGGCGACCGCTGCGCCGCCGCTGCGTGACGCACGGCGTGAGAGAGGCGACATTTCAAAACCGCTCACGCACCGGATGATTAAGTGAAATTATACATTTAAAATGACCCGATAAATAAGGCACGAATCGAACCTGTCTCGAAACTCGGACGTGTCGAAATTCGCAGCACTTTCAGGTCGGGCGTTTCGGCGGCTTTTGGGTCACCTACTAGTGCCATTAGCGTGAGCAACCGGACTTTTATCTAAGACGGTGG